CGGGCATGTATATATAGGGGTTGAGGTAATAAGTAGAGGATCACAAAAATAGAAGTAGAAGCAAGGAGTGAGGTTCGGAAAATCGAAGGAAATAGAAAATAATAGGGGTCAATATTAAGGTGAGTTATATTATACCTTGAATCACCATAATATAGTTTACATATGTTTTGAGTCACCATAATTTATTTTACGCAATTTGTATTTTATAAATTATATTAATATTTCAATTGCGTTGATTATTTTCTAAACTCTATTTGTTTAAATTGAAACCCATGGATATGTTTGTTTAAATTTTAGAAATTATTTAACAATGATTTTATAAACAATTATGTTTTGTAAGTACCACCATGAGAGTCTCATGCCTTGGGAGACTTAAATAATCATTGGCCTCTATTTGGCCACTTTGTGGTCCACTATTTGTCATGGATCCATTGACCTCTGTTCTGATTGTCACTCTAGTGACCTTTGTTCTATTCTGTTCTGCACCGTGGTTATGGTTATTTGCTTACATGATTTTCACATTATGCTTCTGTTATTTAAAATTAATTATGTATTTCAGTTACCAAACTAATCTCTGTTTTTAACCAAATAATTATCCATGGTACTTTCTGTACCCTCATACTCATTGTATAATATTTCTCACTCTGCCATGTGCTTATAGCTGTTACACCTTTCAGGTGATGCGATTTAGTAGGATCGAGATTGGGAATGAATCGCAGTATTTTTTTTATTTACTATCTGTAATTCTGATCGGACTCTTGTAATAAAATAAAGCCCATATGACTATTTTCTTTTTTAAATAAACCTTTTGGTACCCATTTATTTTATTTTATTTATCTGTTTGCGCTACTACTACATAAATTTTAATTATTTAATTTTTATTGTCTTGTTGCGACACCGAACCATTGGGTACTGGGTTTGGGTTGTGACAAACGTATTTAAACTGAAATTCGCATTCAACTGCATACTTGCAGAGTACTGTCTTGAATTCATGTGCGCCTCCCCAAAAGATTAACCAATATGTGTAATATCGAATACCCATCCAGCAGACAAAAAATGTCTTCGATTTATGAGGACAATATGATGATAACAAATTTGTTTGGTCCTCAATATTGCACATTGGCTGTGGTGTCACACAATCCATCCGTAGGGGACCCTGCAACGTCACATTCCACTCCATGACTCCGCATTTGAATTAACGCATACATATGATGAAGATCAAATGACTTTGCAAGAGACAACATGTTCTAAACATCGTCATCATAATCAATTTTAAACTTACTGTATCCAAGAATAGTGAAAAAGAAATACGCCAATCCAAGGTCCAAGTTGTCAAGCTTATCACAGACACCACGAACCAACTGTGCAAATGTCAATGTCTGATGAAGACGGAACACCGCATTTGTTTGTCCGAAAGTACACAACAGCAGCACTGCGAACTCCATACCTGCAGATAGGAGAGGGGGAAAAAAAAAACAATACAAACAAAAAAACATTACATTTTGTACAATAATGAATAGATGAAAACTATACAAATGGAAAATAACCTTGGCAACTTCTGAACGTCTACTACACATTGCATGGTCACAACATGACCATGTCGTTTAAAACACTACCATTGTAAAAAAATTGCAATTGCTCAATGAGTATGGTTGACATGGTTTACACATGGGTTAGGGAGATGATGTTTTTTTGTGTTTGGTATATCTTCGAAACAATTTGTTCTATATTCGAAATTGGAAAAGGATCCCAATAACCCAATAAAATGAAAAATGAACATAATGGAAAGGCAATGTTAAAAACCCGTAATCGTCTGAAAATCATATATTCCAGCCACAACACGGAACAATAAATAACAAATCAAGACAAAACACATCCACCATAAACATCGTTCACCCAATGATGCAACACACACCCCCAATTGGAATTCGAAAAACCATCGCAAAGACAGAAAATGAAAGAGAAAAAAACAAGCCAAACAAAACAACATCACATGTGCACAAAAAAATGGATAAAGCAACCTGCACATATGGGAGAGAACATTGGCCAGTAAACGAATAATGTAATATCAACAAACATTACGTTTGCACAATAATGTAATATCAACCACAATAGGGAACAACAATGTAAACTGTGAGGACATATTATGTAAATGATAGCATGTGAACAAGGTGACGCCGAAGTGTCAGCCGAGGTGCCACGTGGCCTGGTCCTGATGCCGAGGTGATCTCGGGTAGGCCGAGGTTATCTGTGGAGATACCAGAATCCGAGATAAACAGATAAGGAACAAGAGTCCTAGAATATGGGAGGATCTCATCTAGATAAAGATAAAGCTCTTACGAAGTTTATCCTTATCTAGCTGAGAGTTCAGGATTACCATTGAGCTTGAGTCCACCGAAGTGAGGCTTCTACAGGGATTAGGTTAGTGCTGGCTATAAAAGCAGGGCACCCCCGTGGGTCTTAGAGAGGTGTGAGATACTATGAGCAGTAAGCACTTTACTTGTGAGTTTAAGCACAATTTGCTATCTTTGAGAGATATAGATTATTAACTTGATCGTCGGAGTGCCCCCGGGTGGACAAACCACCGCCGGATTCTCATCTTCTTATATAGGTTGTTGAGCTTAATCTATTTTGCCGGTACTCTCCAACTGAGTTCCCCTTTTGGTTCTGTGGTTGGAAATCTACACCTATATAAACCTATACAAAACATTGACCAAGTAAACCTGCACATATGGGAAAAGAAAGTTGGCAACAAAACCTGTACAAACCAATATTACATGTGTACCATAATGTAACATCAAATTTTAGCCACTATTTTATGTTTGAAACTAAAAAACGAAACATGCACATCATGTGTGAAGCAATGTTACAACCCCATAATCTTCGGAAAATCGTATATACATTCCAACTCGACAACGGGAAACAAAAACAACAAATCAAACACAAAACCACATCCACTAGAAAACATCGTACGCTCGAAGATGCAATACACACCCACTGTTTTAGGTTTGAAATTAAAAAACGAAACTTGTACATCATCTGTAAAGCAATGTTACAACGCTGTAATCTTCAGAAAATCGTATATTCGTTCCAACCCCTGACAACGGGAAACAAAAACAACAAATCAAACACAAAACCACATCCACCAGAAAACATCGTACGCTCGAAGATGCAACACACACCGCAAATTTACAATCGAACAAACATCACAAAGAAATAACTGAGCAATGGAATTACACTAACCTGAGTGAGCCGCAAAGGACGTCAACCCAATAAACACCACAAACGGTTAGGGAACACAAATACACACTAACACACATTAGGCACAAAACATCAACTAAGGAAACATCAACAATTTCCAAAAAAAGCCACGTTTTCCCCTCTCCCATAAAAATAGTAATGTTAAAATCCTGCCTTATCCACAAAACACCAAAAAAATCTGTTTGAAATTCAAAACCAAGGGCAAGCAAGTAAAACAACTCTCAATAATACAAACAAAACAACATACCAAAAATACAAAATGGACTAAATGTTTAATAAAAAAACATCCAGGACTAAATGGAGTAACATTTTCCTAAATGAGATTTATGAGTAATTTTTTCCTTAAAAAAAAAGGCCTTTTCCACTAATTCTTACAAAGTAAATTGTATTTACCCAAAAAAATACAAATATTGATTTGAGTTTAAGATAGTGTTTGATTTGGTTGAAAGATTTCACACATTAATGAAATGAGTATACTCTGGTCTCCTAATATAGTGCTCATTCTTTTAAATAAAGAAAGTTTGTCTCCAGTTTAACCAGTGTGTGGGGTTGCGAGTTTTAAATTCATTACGATAATTTGAATCGTTTATTTTTTATTATTTATCGAGCAAATTATTATTATAAAAAATTAAATTAATTGGATATCAATATTTAGCTAATTAGATTATATTTTTCTTTAATAAAAATAGACGGCAAGTATGACTTAGAGACTTGATCATTAAATTTTTTTTTATTTATATAAATATAAACTGACCATATGGCTATCAATATCCAATTAATTTGAGTTTTTTACATAAAAATAGACGACAAGTATGCCACCACCATATCATCACTACAACCATCACAATATAAAAATTGAAATATTCAATTTGAAAATAATAAATTTTATATTTGATTTTATTCATATGAAAAAAAAAATAGTTTGATTTAAATTTTGTTAATTTAAATCCCAATATTTTGATTTGTTTTCAATCTAAATCATTCGCCTATTTTTGTTAAGTAAAACGGATGGAAAGATAGTATTTTAGTTATTAAACTCACTGTAGATATATATAAAATGTCTTATATATCATTTTTTATTGAATTTAAAGAGTAAAATATAATTGTTCGAACGATTTACTTAACGAAAATAAGCAAATAGTTTAAATTGAAAATAAATAAAGAATTTAGGATTTAAATCGATAAAATAAAAAATTCAGAATTTATTTTGTTATAAGGATCCAACTTTAAGATTTTTTTTTTTTTTTTGTAATTTCTCCAAAAAAATTATGTATATAGTTGATATGACTTAATTATCAGGCCTTGAAAAGTCCATTGGGTCGGGCCACAGGCCCGTCCACGGGCTTTACTTTTTGACCCAAATTAAACCCATATATTTTAGGGCTGAGCCATCCTCAAGCCAGGGCCAGGCAAAAGTTTGATGGGCGCGGGGCCATGGGTTTTTTTGATGAGACTCTACATGATGAACTATATACGGGACACGTGTACGACCTAAAATCGATATCCAAGTAGAACAATAGACATTACCAGCAAAGACACGAAGCCTCTGTAAACCCTAATCTCCATTTTCGCAGAGGCCGCCAAGTTGAAAAGTCCATTGGGTCAGGCCAGAGGCCAGTCCACGGGCTTTACTTTTCGACCCAAATTAAACCCATATATTTTAGGGCTGAGCCATCCTCAAGCCTGGGCCAGGCAAAAGTTTGATGGGCCCGGGGCCATGGGTTTTTTTGATGAGACTCTACATGATGAACTATATACGGGACACGTGTACGACCTAAAATCGATATCCAAGTAGAACAATAGACATTACCAGCAAAGACACGAAGCCGCTGTAAACCCTAATCTCCATTTTCGCAGAGGCCGCCAAGTGAAGCTGCAACACCTACTCACCAATGGTGCTCTCTCTCTCTCTCTCTCTCTCTCTCTCTCTGCATATGTGATATATAGTGATTCTGTCTTTCTCTCTCTAAAACTTGATTCAATTTGACTCGCGCAGGGGATCGATCTAGTCGCCGGAGGGAAGAGCAAGAAGACCAAACGTACAGCACCTAAATCAGACGATATTTACTTGAAGCTTCTCGTCAAGGTCTGCATAAATTCCATCTCTCTTTCTCTCTCTCTCTCTCTCTCTATATATATATATTCCTATATGTAGATATTGATATGTAACCATCGATTGATTCTTCATCAGCTGTACCGATTTCTTGTACGGAGAACTGGAAGCAATTTCAATGCTGTGATACTGAAGCGTCTGTTCATGAGCAAGGTCAACAAGTCTCCGATTTCTCTCTCTAGATTGATCCGATTCATGAAAGGAAAGGTCAGTTTCTCTCCCTCTCTCTCTCTATATATATATGTGTGTTGATTTGTTGAGATTTTTGTGATTTTGATTTTGATTTGATCTGTTTAGGAGGAGAAAGTAGCTGTACTGGTGGGCGCTGTGACTGATGATACTAGGGTTTATGAGGTTCCGGCATTGAAGGTGACTGCCCTGAGGTTTACGGAAACTGCGAGGGCAAGGATCGAGAAGGCTGGCGGAGAGTGCTTGACTTTTGATCAGCTGGCTCTGAGAGCTCCACTGGGACAGAACACGGTATTTGATTAATACTGGATTATTAATTTTTTTTAAAGTTCAAATTGTTGTATTTTGTAAATTAAAATTTTGCTTGCTAAGTATTTAAAATGATAAATTAAACTTTTTAAATTGTAGTTTGATCCAAATTTCACCTTAATTTCTATTATTTCAATTTAGGCAATGTTAACTAGACTTCATATCCAATTTATTTTTCAATTTTTTTGACCTGTTCTTCTAATGTGACTAATACATGTTAAAAGTAAATTTAGGGTGAGTTGCACTTTAGTTGTGGTGGTTTGACTCAAATATCACTTTTATTCTTATTGGTTTGATTTGAATTGCAAAGTAGATGGAGTGCTACTCATGATTTTTCTAACATGAGAAGTCTATATGAAAATTTGGATAGAAGGGCCAAATTGAAACTGGATTTGAACTCTTAGGGCTAACATTCTTCAAATTGAAGCATTTGAGATCAAAGTAAAATCTGAGTTAAACTTCAAGATAAAGTGTAATTTACTCTAATTTTTATCTAATTTGTACATAATGACCAAATTGAAATTGAACTTGAAGTCTAGATTAATATTGTTTAAAATGAAACAATAGGGACTAATTGAAATTTGAGTCAAACTATAGGGGGGAAGAGTGTAATTTACCCTATTTAAAATGGTGTCAACTTAATGTTTTATTCTATTTATTTCTTTGATTTTTTCTTTCTGCCTATTATTTGATTTGGTCATTTATTATGGTAGCTGAGTTTCTCTTCTTATGAAACAGTTGTTGGTTAATCCAAAATTTTGATTGTTTTAAATGTTTTACATCAGATTTGTTTAATGTATGCATGCTCAAGGGCCCAAAAAGCGTATGGAAAGCACTGTAGCTTATGGAAAGCTGAAAGGTTGTTTTGTTAGCTATTACTTGGGAAATAAGAGCATCTCCAATGGTAGTGTTAAATTTGTGTTATATGATAAAAAATGTAGAAAGTGGGACCCATTTGTGTGTTAATTGTTTTTAAGAGCATCTCCAGTTGGTTTGTTAACCCAACAAACCCACTGGTTAGTGTTAGAAAGTGTATTTTATAAATTAGCTAACCAACAAAATTACTTTTGCCTCCAATGGATTTGCTAAAGTAGTTGTTAGCTAGAGCAGAAGTTGAAGTTTATTATAATGCTTGCTAATTGTGGCCATTTACTTAGCAAAGCAAGAGAGAGAAAAGAAAGAGAGAGACAGAGGGGAAGCTAGGCTGTTTGTCATATAACAATGTTAAGACTAACAAGCACTTAACACACAAATGAGTGTAACTTTCTACACTTTTTGTTATATAGCACATTTTAACACACAAATTTAACACTACCATTAGAGATGCTATTAGTTTAGAGAGTAGATGTGCGCTCCAATGGGGTAGTTAAAGTATTTGTTGAAGCGTATTTTATGTCGATGTGGGGGCCGCTCAAATGTATATAAATATATAATAAAATAATTATAATTTATTTTTTAAATCTATGGAAGCCAGTAGAAGAAAAAGAAAAAAAGTACAAACAACCTAGCTTCCCCTCCCTCTCTCTTGCTTTGCTAAGTGAATAGTCACAGTTAGCAAGCATTGTAGCAAATTTTAACTTCTGCACTAGCTAACAACAACTTTAGGGCAAAAGTAATTTTGTTAGCTAGCTAATTTAGAAAAAACATTTCTGACACTAACCAGGAGATGCTCTAAGTATCTCCTGATGTTTGTGGTTAGCTTTGGTGGTTTAATGGTTTCAAGCTTTGTGGTTAGCTTTGATTGTTTTATAGAAATGTTTGTGGGTTGTGGGTAGATGCTGATTCTGTTTATTTTGGACCAACAGTTGTGGTTTAGTTCTGGGTTGGGTTAGTCTGAGTCAAGTAAGTTCTGAATTTCAAATTAAAAACCTAAACTGATGCATCAAAATAATTGATTAATCTCAGTTGGGTTTAATTGATTTCTAAGCTCCAAGAAGAACAAACATTTCTTAGGTGTAATGTTTTTAAGCTCCATTTTTAAATTGTAGAAGTCTATTTAATGCTACTCAATTTAACAAAAACAGCCCAATTTTGTTTTAGAAGTGAAAAAAGGGCAAGCATCCAACTCTAAAAGATCACCTGGACATCGTCTGGTTCCTTGGGCAGGTGCCCATCTTGGTCAATCCTCAGCCCACTAGCGGCGAGCAAAAGGCTGATCTATTCACTTCTGGACACAACCCATGAAGTGTCTTATTTGGTTGGGGATGGGTCATTAAATATAGGGGAGAGTGAGGAAACCTTTCTTTAAATCCAGCTCGGATGGGGAGGAATATTTCTTCCCTAATTGATGTCGGAGAATTTGCCAAGGTGAGTGCCTCGCCAATTGTTAAGTTGTCCCACATTGGTTAGGGGAGAAAAACTTACCCCCCTCTCTTCTCTATTTGAACACTTCTTCCAAGCTTCCTCTAGTGATCAAAGGGATTGGGCCTTCATGAGCTGGCTTACTTGACCTGATAGTCTTAACATTGAGAAATTTGTTTACTTTTATCTTGATCACGTGTGAAAGTTATTGCCTAATTTTTGCTCCAAAGCAAATGAATTTCTTTTTGTTAGTCCTGGTTTCCGAGAATGACTCAACCAACCCATCCTAACATCTGTGTACTTCGACTTGCAGTATTTAAAGCTATTAAACTTTAAATAAGCATATGGAATTGCCACTACTGATTCTAGTGAGTTTTGAACTCTCAATTGATATTTGTTATGTCAGAAAGGAAATAAGGTTTCCACTGGGAAAAGTGGTGCCTTGTGATGATAGAGAGTGAAGGCTTAGGGGATAATAGATGTAATGTAACAACTAATAAGAGTCAATAGTCTAAACCTTCACTTCTCTCTCCTATGTGGCATTTACTTGACACCTCCATTGGGATGTTTCAAATTAGTATCAAGGGCATGCTAATATCATGGAGGTTTTGAAATTCAAATTTCTGTTAGCTGGTATCCATGGTATTTCTAAAGGGACATAGCTAAACTCCAAATGATTTTCAGTTGGCTCTAGCTTTAATATTCAATCATTGATCACATAATAACACGTCATTATCTATGTCGTTGGTAAAAAGATTGTTTTGGATAGCTACGATTTTTTGTTTTTCGGAGATGGATTACATTTTGGCACCCACTTTGTTTATAAAGTTAGTGGCATTCATTTGTTGATTTGGTGAATGAGGTTCCAGTGAAATGTGGATCGTGTTTTGTTGAAAATTTTGTTGCAGATTTTTAATGCATCATCTTGGGTGAATTTGCAGGTTCTCCTTAGAGGTCCGAAGAATGCTCGTGAGGCAGTGAAACACTTTGGTAAGGCTCCTGGTGTGCCACACAGCCACACCAAACCATACGTGCGGGCAAAGGGAAGGAAGTTTGAGAAGGCTAGGGGAAGGAGGAACAGCAGGGGATTTAGGAATTGAGTTGATCCGCGTTACTTAATTTTGAGGCAGACTAATCATTTCAGTTGTTACATGTTAAAATTTTGCGGCAGACTAATCATTTCAGTTGTTACATGTTAAAATTTTGCGAGACATGTAGGAATCTATGGCTGCTGTTTATTTTTTCACGTTCTTTAGGATTTTATTTTACTGTATTAGATTGAGTTAATTCATGCTCAGTTTTGAGATGACTAACTCTCAGTTACAAATCAATGGTTTTGATTTATTTTTGGCCCCTTTTCCACAAATGGTTGTGCTTGTTTTGCTTTCTGTTTTAAATATCTGGTCAAAGTGAATTTTCAATTCCATGTTTGACCTATGGCTGACACCAGGCTGGCTTGCATAAATGGTGCTCAAGCTCACCAACTGGGCCAAGCTCGGTCGGCTTATTTTGACGAGCCTAAAGGGGGATTCTATTTTAACTGGAAAAATTATGGGTAAATTACACTGATACCCTTGATATTTATGTTTATTATAGTTTCTCACCTTATCTTTTAAAAATTACATCTCTTCTCTGAGTTTTAAAATTTTATTACAGATTCTCCTCTCAACAATTTAATTTTTTTAAATATTAATTTTATCTTCACTGGATAAATTACATTGACATCTCATGTTTTAGAAATTATAATCCGTTCCCTAAGTTCTAAAGTAGCATTACCTATTGTCCTCTCGGTTAGTATTAGTTGGAAAAAAAATTCATTGAAATAAAAAATTAATTGGAAAAAAATTAATTAAAAAAAAAATTATTACGAAAATTTTTAAATTTCTATTTAAAAATCAACGTAAATTTATTTTTTAAAATTTATGTTTTTTCTTTAAATTTACAAACTGAAACAACAATTTATAAACTAAAAAAATTATCAAACAATTTTTTATGATAGTTTTTAAAATTTTTGTAAATATAAATTAAAATCTGAAAACGAAATAGTTAATAAACAGGCTTCAGATGGTAAAAATATCGTAAAATTAACAAATAATTAAAGAAATTACCAACGTAAGAAATGACTTATCTAAAGATTCTTAGGCTATGCATAGTTTGATTTTTTTTTTTAAATTTAAAAATTAAAAATTAATTTGGTTAAGAAATAAAAAATATAAAATAATTATCATTTAAAGGTAAAAAATAATTATCATTTTAACTTTTGGGCAGGTTTTGTACAGACGTATGACTGTTTCAATTTAATTTGTAAAAAATTATTTCTAACCACTCGAAAGATAAAAATTATATAAAAATGATAATTATTATTTTTTTGTTATTTCTTAACCAAATTAATTTTTAATTTTTAATTTTTTTTTAAAATCAAATCATACATAACCTAAGAATCTTTTGATAAATCATTTCTTATGTTGGTAACTTATTTAATTATTTGTTAATTTTACGACATTTTTACTATCTAAAACTTGTTTGGTAATCATTTCGTTTTCAGTTTTCAATTTATATTTATAAAAATTTTAAAAACTACCATAAAAACTTGTTTGATATTTTTTTTTGTTTATAAATGGTTGTCTTAGTTTGTAAATTTGAGAAAAAAACGCAAACCTAAAAATGAGTTTACGTTGGTTTTTAAACAGAAATTTAAAAAAAATTACTAACAAATTTTTTTTCCAAATAATTTTTTTTCCAATTAATTTTTTTTTCAATGAATTTTTTTTTTCAACTAATACTAACCGAAAGGGCAATTGGTAATGCTACTTTAAACCTTAGGGAGGGAATTGTAATTTCTAAAATGTGAGAGGTGTCAATGTAATTTACCCAGTAAGGGCAAAATTGATATTTAAAAAAACTAAATTGCTGAGGAGGGAATCTGTAATAAAACTTTAAACCTCAAAGAGGAAGATGTAATTTCTAAAAGGTGAGGGGGGATTGTAATAAATATAAACCTCAAGGGGTGTCAGTGTAATTTATCCTTTTTTTCCAACTAATACTAACCAAGGGGGCGATTGGTAATGCTACTTTAAACCTGAGGGAGGGGATTGTAATTTCTAAAATGCGAGGGGTGTCAATATAATTTACCTAGTGAGGGCAAAATTGATATTTAAAAAAATTAAATTACTGAGGATGAAATCTGTAATGAAACTTTAAACCTCAGGGAGGGAGATGTAATTTCCAAAAAGTGAGAGGAGAAACTATAATAAACATAAACCTTAGAGAGTGTCAATGTAATTTACCCTTTAAAATTTTATTTTACTCTCATTACACATTATTTTTTTCAAATTACCTTCAAGGTAAACCTAAATAATAAATAAACTAAAAAAATTAAATTATTTTAAAAACTTTTCAATAGAGGAAAAAAAAAAAAAAAAAAAACCGAGCTTATAAGTATATACGCATTAAAAAAAAAAAATCAAACTTTTACATAAGTATTATAAAACTTTTCAATATAGAAAAAAAAAATTATTATAAATTATTCACAAGAATGTTCGTAAAAAAATCAAAATCAAACTTATAAACACATAAGCATCAGACATTAATAAGAAATAATAGTTTTCAAATAATATATTATTTAAACGACAATAAAAACAATTCCAATAATATGTTATTGTTAATTTAACTATTGGGCTTTTAATTTTTGACCAATATATATATATATAGAAAATAATTGATGATGTTCTACAAAAATTGTGAAATCTCTTTATATGAATAATTATCTCATTTTTGATGTGTTGCTTTAAAAAAACTATTTTGATTATTACTCTCATCCATTATTTAATTTTGTTCAAACTTTCTTTTAAGATTTAGGGTTTTAAAATAATAAAAAACAATAATGTTGATGATGATGGTAAGTTTTGATAGGGTGGACTGGAGTTTTAGAGGGAGGAAGAAGAAGAACACGAAGAAGAAATAACTTTGATCTTTTGAGAAAAAAGATACAGAGATTTGAAAAAATAACTGATTATGGTGTACTATGAGAAATTTTTTTATTTTAGAGTTTAATATGTATTATCCTTATTAGTAACTTCATATTAAGATATAATATGAATTAAATTTTATGAATTTAAATTACGCCTATTGAGACATATTTTGAGTTTGAATAGAATCTCCCGCCAAACTGGGCCAAAATTATAGACCAACGCCTGCCTGATGGGCTTTGCGGATAAATTGGTCAGCAGCTCGATGGGCTTGAGATCCTAGGCCAGCTTATGCCGCATTTGGGTTGGGCGAACTATACAGGGTTATGAACTTGGGCCAGGTAAAATCTTGGCTGATAGGCCTTGGGCCGAAAGATGGTTTTTTTTGCAGTTAGTTTTTAGGGTATTTGGGGATTTTTTTTTTTTTTTTTGGGGGTTATTTTTTATATAAAAAAAGAAATAAATTGAGGATAGAAATGACATGTATTCTTCTTGACTATACGGACTAAAAAGGAAAAATTCTATAAAAAATTTGAAAGAAAGTCTAGATTGACAAAAAAAAAAAAGAAAAAAAAAATTGAGGCTAAAAACAATTGGCCTTTTATGAGCCTTTTTTTTCCTTTGAAATTTTCAATTTTTTTTTTAATTTTTAATTTTTAGATTTGTCTATACAAAACGGAATGAAAAAAATTTAAAAATTGACATAATTTAAAAAAAAAAATCACTAAAGACGACAACAATAACAAAAAAAACAAAAATTGTGAGAACTTGTTTTTTTAAAAAAAAAGAAACGCATAGAAACCAATTACAACATTCTGTCACAAACACCGAATCTATGATTAGTCTCTGTCCACGTAAAAATATTTTTTTTGTACTTGTGTATACGCATCCACTAACTATTTCATTATTTTAGAAAGTTGGTAAAAAATTAACTTTTTAATTTTTTAACTTTTTTGGTGATTTTTTTAGCAAAAAACAGGGTTGTTTTAGGTAAAAAAGCTAATTCTTTTTGCTAAAAAAACTAAAACTTTTTTAGTGTGTTCCCAAAAGACCCCTTAATCTTTCACTCTCCTAGCAAATTAATTTAAGTAGGAATACTATTGGTAAAGATGGAGCTCTCCAAACAAATAGAGAACATATAATTCGTGGAACAATAATTGTTTCAAAGTTAAAATTTCATGAGTTTGTTCATTCCTTTTTTGACATACATAGAACAAAGCTTGAAAATATTTCTCAATATTTTTTATTTCAAACACGGAAACGTGAAATTTCACGCAAACGAGAGACTTGCAAGAAAAAAACTAGCACGAGAGAGAGGTTGTGAAAGCAATTCAAAATTTGTTGAAGAAATCAAGGATCTGAGAGTTGATTTCTTGAGCTCTTTCTTGGTTGATGAAGTGTCCAACTCCTTCCATCACAACGACAGGTTCCTCAAGCAATGGCACATCTTTTTTGAAACCACCATTGTGTACATATTCCTTTATCCCTGGTGTTGTATAAATCATGTCTTTATCTCCCACAATGAATTTCACTGGTACTTTCACTTGTGCCCTTGTCCATGGTGCCGTGAGCTCCCAATTTCTGCAATAAATATGGGTAAAATCATAAATTCACAAATGCAAGGCGCAACTTGAACAAGTCAAGCCAAAGCAACCCTAGATCCCAATTTTAATTTTTTTTATTATTATAAAATAAATAGGGGTAAAATTGTAAAAATCACAAATATAAAGGTGCAACTTGGATAGGCCAAGCCAGAGCAACTTGAATCTAGTTCGCAAAATTTTAAGGCTTGGGGTAGTATAATTTCAAATTTGAATAGGGGTGTGGGTTAAAAATTTGTCAATTTGAAATAAATTTGGACAGGACTAAAGACGACTCTCATATTCTAAATTCTATTATTAGTATATATATATATAATTTATACATAATAAATACAAAATGTACATGCAACAAATTGATTATTTATCCACTATTAAATTATATTACGATGTACTATATTTTATTAATTGGTACATATAACTTAACTTAATTTTCTTATTTTGATTTATGTTTGTAATTTTTGAAATGTTTTTCCTTTTTATTTTTATTTAAAAAAAGGTGTAATCCATTAGTTTGAACAATTATTGATAATTTTTGTGTGTTAAATTTTGGCAAGCCGTTGGGTTTATGCTTGGGCAAGACCGTTGGGCTAAATGTTGGGATGAAATAATCCCTCTACACTTCAAAGATGAGTCTGGACAGACCTTTAGCCTAATTGAACCAGCTCAAATTGTAGCCATATTGAAATGTAACTCCTTGATAAGTAACTAGGGTTTGCGGTACATGTATAGGTATTTTTATATTTTTGATACCCATATTCACTGATATATCAACTAATATATAATCGTATTATCGATATTAATACGTAATTTGATATTGTTATTTAAAGCGATGCAAGTAACTTGATAATTGTTAAGGAAACTATACATACAAATCCAGAGCCCTGTAGTAGTTCAATCCTCCAGTGAAACCCTTCTGCTCAAATTTCTTGGTGTAGTAATTCAAGTCATCTTCTGAAAACCATGATGGCAATGCAGTGTTTGTTTCCTGAGAAATTCCAAATGGATTTTCTTTAGACAGGTAGGGTGGACCTGGTTTCCTATCTGTTAGAATTTTCTTGAGAACTTCTTTGGTGCCATACTTTGCAATCTCAGCTTCAATCTCTCCGGGTTTCTACACAAAATCAAAGCAAGTTAATTCAGGTCGTTAGGAGATGAAGAATGTTGAGGAAGTTTACATACACAGAATTAAGTCACAGAAAAGTGTAAGGAGTGTACGTGCTAATGTGAACTTAGTTAAACATATCAAGTTTTTGTCCTTCATACATCTTAGTATAATGTTGGATTGAAAATCCATGACTTTAAAATAATATGATAGAAGTAATTCAATTCAATCCTCTAGAGGACTAAATGGTCCAGTTCAGGCTAGTGGACACATCACGAGCTCTCGATGATCCAATTCATAAATTTTTTAGTCTCTCGTGTATAGATTATCTATAATAAAATAAAAAATCAAATTGAGGTAATAATTACAGTCAATGATTTAATTATATTTGCTTTTTATTTTTATTTTGATTTAAAGATCTATCTTCAAAATTATTATCATCAAAATAAAACTTGTAATAGAGTGAAGGTTCAAAACTGAACTGAACCGATTCCGTTCACAAGGTATACTGAAAACAAACTGAACATTTGCAACCAATTAATTAGGGATGATGTTGAGGGTCATATGCTCATAGCATGCTTTTGGTCCTTTCTCAACTGTCCCTCCCCTTACCAATGTATCATTTATTTTTTTGCTGATTCTAGAATTTTTTAATAATAATAAATATAAATGTGTGTCAGGAACAATGCACTATTATTTTAAATTTTGTTAATAGTTGCTCTTAAAAGGAAAAATGATTTGCAAGTGAATTTTATTATAGAAAACCTAAATTGATATGGGTAGTAATATTTTTTAAATAACAACTCATTTTTATAAACTTTTAAATTTAAAAAAGTAAATACAAAATATAATAATATTTATTTATATATTATTATTTAAATAAAATAAAAATTGCAACCCCATCTAGTAAAGAACAAATCACATAAGTGGTACCCTACACAAACACCATCTCATACACATAAATCTTCGTCAGAAGCCAAACAAAGGGACTTTAATCTATTGACAGTGATAGGTGAGTGATCTTTGACCAGCACTGCTGGCAGTCAATAATATTACCAACCAACAATGATAGGGATTATTTTTATTTATTTTTTTATTTTTTTTTTTTTTGAAATTTCACAATTTTAAAATAATATATATTATTTATGATGTGAATTTCACACATATATAAATGTGTTTCACACATGATGAACGATGTAAATCATTTTGAAAATTATAAAAATTTCTAAAAAAAGAAAAGAAAGTAAAGTGGCTTCACTCATTTTTCTATTACCAACAACAATGCCAGTAAACAGAAAAGCTTCCTACCCCCAGCTGGGGGTGACACCCAGTGAGGTGTCAGCTGGGAGTTGGTCAAAAAAACAGTTTTTTTTTTTTTTTGATTTCCGACCAGTGGGGGCGCGCCACGTCACTGGGGCGCCACCCTCACTGGGGTGTATGAAGCATTGTTGGCCAGTAAAAAGGCAGAATGATATTTTTTTTTTTAACCGAAAAAGGCAGAATGATTGAAAACTTCAAATTGTGAGCTCTAAACAGTAAGTTTAACTGGTTGATGTGATGTTTTGAATTACTTTTTATTAAGAATTGTTTTGAGATGTTCTAAAAAAATTGTACTTTTTGACTTATTAATTTATATGAGTTGGATTTGGATTACGTTTGATGTGATGTATTAGAGAGGTGATGTGATTTAAATAAGATGATGTGATTTAAATAAGATATTGACTTTTTAACTTTTTATATTATTTAGATTATGCCAAACTTAACCTAATTATCACATCAATAAAGTTTTAATTAGAATTCTAATATTAAAGATCTGAATAACTTCTTTATAAATAAAAAAAAAAATTAGATACATGCATAAAAATTTCAATAGTGAGACTCATCTCCTATTAAAAAAAAATAAAAAAACTAAGATGAAAACATCATTATAGTGAGACTCATCTCCTATTAAATTTTTTAGAACTCACAAATTAAAACTCTAAAATATTTTTGTAGAAATTTATCACAGAACGCTCACAAAGTAAAATATAGAGTAAGATGTATCACTTTTGATTATTTTTATAATTTGTTCGATGAAAATTGTGAATCAATTCTCCTCTCCACTCTATCTCATATATATAGTGTTAATGTACACTAAACCTAACCCACTAACCTAACCCACTACATCCACCCCACTAAACCTAACACACTTACCATCTCCACTACCACCCACCACCTCCACTACCATCCACTACCACCACTCACTTACCTCACACCTCTCCTATATAATAGCTTGTAACATACAAATCAAAAAACAATCAATCTTATAATATACACAAATCAATAATAATACATCAGTTCATGTTTAACTAATATTTTACTTTTTAATTCTATTTAGACTATTAGATATTATATTTTTCATGTAAAAGTAAAATTTAAATATAAAATATGAAGAAATTTTGATATCTTTAATCATCAAAACTGAGAAAATATGAAAAATTAAAAACTAAAAAACAGATTTAAAAAATAAAACCAACGAAAATGATTCTTGTTTAGAATTTTGATATCATACCTTGGTTATTAAAGTACCATGTAAAATGTTACAGTCCATAAAATATAATTTAAACAAAAAGAAAGTGTATAAAGATAACCTGCGAATTTTTGAGATACAGTACAAATCTCTATTTTTAAAAACGCATTCAGTTTTCTTTGTCTAGATTCGAACGAATGCAAACAACTTTAAGATTCAACTAATATTATTCACAGTGATTTATCCACAATGGACAATTGTAAATATTATGTATATCGATATAAAAGCATACACAAGAAATAAGAAAGAGTAGTTATGTTTTGTTCTTCAATCATCATCAATATGCAAAAAAATAGGGAGCCGGCTTCTTTTTTTCTTTTTTCTTTTTTTGGATAAGAAGAGAGACAGATTGTTTATATTTATATAGGATTTTTGGAAGCAAATATATCATTTTTGAGTGTTCAACTCTAAAAATAAAGAGATAGTTAGTTTATATAAGACTCTTTATGACTTGTAGAAAATATAGTAGAATTGAGAGGATAAAATTGAGATTTAAAAAAAAAAAAAAAAAAGAGTAAAAAACATTACAGGCTCTTTACACTTTTATAATAGTAGTAGATTATTGACAGTTTAAAGGCTTGCCATTAATATGTTTTTATGGGAGCTGCTATTTCCATTCCACTTTCAACAATGATTCATCCCACTAAAAACACCACCACTAATAGCACTAATGTATTAAAAAAGTAAA